TGCATGTTCAGGTGCCTAATGTTAATGCCATTTCTTTCAAATTTTACGTCTTTAAGCATCAAATCAGCTTGTGGTGAATCCATATTAACATCTGATTGCTAAGAGTTTGGATCTTTGCAAGTACATGTATCACTATTGATGTCAGTACAGTTCATTTTCAGATTGACAGATCTCTTTTCTACAAAATTATATACACTGTTTTGAATATCATTTGATACAATGCCATATGTAGTGTCATCATTTTCTTTGAGACATTTGACTGCGTCAGCTTACCACTTTGAATGAATCAGGTGTTCCACTATCTTTGTATTGCTGGATAGCTCCTGTTTCGTGCATTGTATCTCCGGTTTAGAGCCTTCTGAAAATTAACGGGTTTCGTGAAGAGTTCTGTTGCAATTCAAGGGATGTGCGTATAGCTTTGTTAAGTTGTTTCCGTAATACAAATGACCCTTCAATGCTAAGATGGACCTATTCATAGATGAGAGTTTGATCAACTTTTCTATCCTTTAGCATAAAACTGTCATTGTCAATAAATATGAAGCCCTTTCCTATACACATGTTTTTCAGTAGGTTGTTTGTGACAGATATGTTTTCAGTTGACAGAAGGGCTCTTTTCTTCCGTAGAACTGATGTCATCATTACTTCTGCCTTTGGGTTAATTCCTTGAAGTATATGAGTAAGATTATGGAACTCCTAACATATATCAGTTGGTTCGTCTACATTTGATATATTGTTTATACCAGCAATTATGATGACTATATCTGCATCCTTAATTGTTTTGGGTTGCATTTTTGTGTCAGTTACAGCAACCTGCATGCTTTTAACAGTTGCCCGCGATTTGATTTGATATCCACTGTTGTTTACTTTGTGCTCATTTTGTCTTTACGTTATCCTTTTGTCACTGTAACCAAGGATCAATACTTTTTATACCTTGCTGGATTTAATGCCTATTTGTGTCAGGTTTTTTTTTGGTATTCTGTGTTTTGTACACAAGTCTGTAGTCTCATGTCTTGCATTTTGATAGATAATCTTGGGTTGTCTCTGCAGCCAATGTTCCATTGCTCTGTACACGTATTTGTTTAGAGGCTGGTAAGGTTTGTTGGCTGTTTTTATCTGCCTGCTCTTTCCTTATATTCCTCACTTCACTCTGGAATAGATACATATCAGCATTTGATGGTAAATTTTCTGTCTGTTACTTTAACATTTCAAGAGTCATTAAGAAATCTGACATGTTCTCCTTTTATATCTGAAATATCATCCCCGATGGTATCATTATTTTCTTCTTGGCTTTGGTTTAATGAAAGTTTTTCTCTGATAATTTTATTTTTCTGTTTTAAGGACTGATTGGTTGGTTTCAATTTCTACATTTCTTCCTTAGGGATAGGTAGCCGTGCATTTAGATCAGCTGTCTGTGAACGTTTATTGTTTCTGTTTTGTTTTGGGCTTGAATGTCACACTGCACTGAAAAGTCACTTTTTTCTATAGATGACTTAACACTATTAGATCTACTTTCAGTGGTGTCAGATTCTGTGTTTATGCTAAAACTAAAATGTGACAGAGTTACTGTGCCACTGTTCATTTTGGTAGCTGCACTCCTCTGTAAAAATGATATTTGGTGTCCTTGGTCTTTGCTGTTATTCTTGTGTAAAACTGGATGTGACTCTACCGGAGTAGATGTCACTGTTTTTTTCCCAAAATGTAAGCTGAATAACCCTCTCTTTTTGCTTCTTTGGTTTTGGTTGAAGGTTAAATGCATAAAAAGTATGAGAAAGTTATTTTGTTTTAATTTTGCACCATTGCCTTTGAACAGATTTTGATGTTTGATTTGAATCAATGCCATGTCTCAGTCTAATAGCTAAACAGTACTTGAATATATTGGTTAACAACTTGCACGGATCGTATTTGTCTAGAATATAGAAGTGTATGACAGAATTCGTGATGCAAAAAAAAAAAAACAACAAACAAGAGGGCCATGATGGCCCTGAGGTCGCTCACCTGTATATAGGCCCCCCCCCCCCCACCCCTGGGCCAATTTTTACCCAAGGGCTTTTATTTGTTTATTTGAACAGACTTGGTTGACACCCATAAGAGGATGTTTCATGCTAAACATTTAAGTTCTAGCTCATTGGGTTTTTTAAAAGAAGATTTTTAAAGTTTCTACTATACACATATAGTTAAAAACAATGACACCCTCGGGCAGGGCCAGTTTTGACCCAGGGCTTTTATTTGAACAAACTTTGTAGATATTTACTTAAAGATGTTTCATGCTTAATATCTAAACTCTAGCTATTTGGGTTTTTTCATAGAAGATTTTTAAGTTTTTGCTATACACATATAAGGAAAATCAATGACCCCCCCCCGGGCGGGGCCAGTTTTGACCCCAGTGCTTTTATTTGAACATACTTGGTAGACACCCATTAGAACATGTTTCAAGCTAAATATCTTAGCTCTAGCTCTTTGAGTTCTTTAAAAGAAGATTTTTTAAGTTTTTACTATATGCATATAGGGAAAATCAATGACCCCCTGGGGCGGGGTCAATTTTGACCCCAGGGCTTTTATTTGAACAAACTTAGTAGACATCCATTAGAAGATGTTTCATGCTAAATATCTTAGCTCTAGCTCTTTGGGTTCTTTTAAAGAAGATTTTTTAATTTTTTACTATATGCATATAGGGAAAATCTATGACCCCCTGGGGCGGGGTCAATTTTGACCCCAGGGCTTTTATTTGAACAAACTTGGTAGACACTCACTAGAAGATGTTTCATGCCAAATATCTTAGCTCTAGCTCTTTGGGTTCTTTAAAAGAAGATTTTTTAAGTTTTTACTATATGCATATAGGGAAAATCAATGACCCCCCTGGGCGGGGCCAATTTTGACCCCAGGGCTTTTATTTGAACAAACTTGGTAGACACTCACTAGAAGATGTTTCATGCCAAATATCTTAGCTCTAGCTCTTTGGGTTCTTTAAAAGAAGATTTTTTAAGGTTTTACTATATGCATATAGGGAAAATCAAAAACCCCCTGGGGCGGGGCCAATTTTGACCCCAGGGCTTTTATTTGAACAAACTTGGTAGACACTCACTAGAAGATGTTTCATGCCAAATATCTAAGGTCTAGCTCTTAGGGTTGTTTAAAAGAAGATATTTAAAGATTTTTCTTTCGGTTGCCATGGCAACCAGAGTTCTGCATGGAATTAAATTCTTTGAACAATTTTTAAAGGTGACCACCAAAGGAACATTCCTGTGAAGTTTGGATGAAATTGGCTCAGTGGTTTATGAGGAGATATCATTTAAAGCAAAAGTTTACGGACGGACGGACGACGGACGGACGGACGGACGCCGGACGAAAAACGATCACAAAAGCTCACCCTGTCACTTTGTGACAGGTGAGCTAAAAACAGACATATGCCGATGTACCGATGCTTTTCGTGCGCTAATAATGTTTTTTTCTATCATGTTATTCAATGGTTTGAAATGATAAATATTTAAATCAAAGAAATCAACATTTTCAATTATTTCAATAACTTGTATATGAGTCGTATTTTTGTAGTGAAAATGTGTGTGTGGTCTCTGCATGCATTGTTTTCGTGCGCTGAAAAATGATTTATACATGTTATAAAGAATTGTTCCGCCCGTGAAAAATTGTTTTTGAAACCCAATCTCAGGATTACTTGCTACGACTGTTTCGTCTCACAACCAGATACATTTTATTGTCCCCCCACTATTTGTTAGGGTATTTAGACTTACCCTTGTCCGTCCACCAGTCCGTCCGTTCTCGTGTTGTGTCGCACGTAGCTAAAACAGTATTTGACCTAGAGTCATGAAACTTTAAACTGGTATTTCCATAACTACTGAAGGGAATGGATTGAAACTTCACACACTTGTTGTCTGTGATTATCAAACATTATTGTCACAAGTCCCATAACTCTGATTTGCTTTTTTGCATATTTATGCCCCTTTTTGGACTTAAAAAATTCTTGTTTAAGTTTTTGCGTGTAAGCTGGTACCTCCATCACTACTGAAGGGAATGGATTGAAACTTTACACACTTGTTATCTGTGATTATCCAACATGATTGGCACAAGTCACTTAACTCTGATTTGCTTTTTTGAATAATCATGTCCCCTTTTCGACTTAGAAGTTCTTAGTAAAAGTTTTGGGATGTAAGCTGGTATCTCCATAACTGCTGAAGGGATTGGATTGAAACTCCACACACTTTTTCTCTGAGATTATCTTACATGATTAGCACAAGTCCCATAACTCTGATTTGCTTTTTTGCATATTTATGCCCCTTTTTCGACTTAGAATTTTTGGTATAACTACTGAAGGGTTTGTGTCTTTTTTTGGGACAATTTTATGCATTCATAATAATAAAGCAGTGATTTATTCGTTAAAATATCTTTATAACAAGCTTTTGCACCTTTTACAATTTTTATGTACTCATATAGGTAAGCATTATGATACTCAATGAAACACCATAGTGACAACTTCTTCGAATAGTCGAGCGTTGCTGTCCTCCGACAGTTCTTGTTATTTTTTATTATTCACAATTCATGTCATGTAGCCAATGTGCGATATTTTACTCATTAAAAATTAAATTTTCAAAATTGTTTTCTTTTTTCTTGGTAAAGGATTAATCGTGGTGATAGAAAGCAATAAAATAAGAAAATACAGTTGAAAAATAGTTGAGTTTTATTTTTAAAAAGTAAAAAAAATGAAAATCCGCTTATATTTACAAAATATTGATTTAAATGACTTTAAAATGATATAATAATCTAAAGAATCAATCCACAAATAAACAAATTATTAGAATTTAAAAATTCTGCTGCTATGTAATGTATACAATATTTGCTCTTTCTGCCAATCAGTAAATCTGCTAAATTCTGGTAGCAGATGCTTGTAATGACTAAATATCATCATAAAATATAATTGTTTAGATACAAGTTAATATCTACTTCGGGACACTCATTTTACAAAGACTTATATACATACAATGTATATGTATTACAGAGCATTCAACTATGGCTCAATTACCTCCCTTTGATAAAATAAAGTAAAAGTTTGGCATGAAAATAAATAAGATGTTTCATTATTATCTTTGAAATCATGTAGACTTTATATCAAGTAAATATTTATATAAACAAAAATTAGATGTCAAAAATCTGCTTTACAGCAAGCGACTTTACAAAAAAATACAAAACATGTTAATGATTCTCACCTCTTCTTTTACACAGGGGAGGAACTGTTGCACGGATGATTGAGTTCTTCTGATAACCTGTCAAAACTGTCACGGCGTTCTTGGAAAACTTTGGATATACCAAAGAAACACTCGTCAAAAATTGTAATTTCATAAGTAAAAAGAGAGTTTGAGGTGCTAAACTAAACTTTGATGATTAAACTTACCTTGCATATTGTATTATGCGTCAATAAAACTTAAAAGTCCATTTTTCATCGCCTCTTGTTTAAAATATGGAAATTTTGAGTAAAATTTCCCAATTATTTACGCATATATGGACATTGGCCTGATTCGGAATTCCTGGAAAACGTTCCAGATTTCGTTGGAAAACATTTGATTAGACTGACTCGTATAAAAAATGTTATTTTCATCTTTAAAAATATAGTTTGAGATGCTAAATAAGGCTCTTGACAATTATCAAAAGAACTCGAAGAACTCCATCCTCAGTGTAACAGTTCCTCCCCCGTGTTTAAGGTACTAGTATATAGAAGCTTCAGCTTAGATATTTGGTATGAAACATTGCCAAGCGGACCTCCACAAAAGTTGTTTAAAATATAAACAATGAGCCCCGCCTCAGGGGATCAATGATTTTCCTTATATTTATTTAGTAGAAACAAATACATCATCTTTTATTATAGTATAGAGGCTTGGGATAACACAGATTTGCCTTATATGTATATAGTAAAAACGTTTTAAAAATCTTTTCTCAAATCTACAAGAGCTAAAGCTTAGTTTCCATAGAAATCAGTAACTTCACAGCAGCCCTTGTCTTTTCATAGCAAACTGTAAATTTCATAGCAACCAGTGACTTCCATAGCAAACAATAACTTTCCATAGCAACAAGTGTATTTACCAGCAGACACTGACTTCCAAGGGAAACATTGTATAGCAACCAGTGACTTCTTATGTAACAGTTGTTTTTACCTTAGCAAAAGCAAAAATAGATACAAATATGAACTTTGTGATATCAGTATTTTAGATTTTATATCTACTTTCATTTATAGTTTTAAAATGACTTGGAGAGTATTAGGTGAGCTACAATAAAACCGTTTGTTTATAAACGATTTTATATAAAGATTTCTGCCATTTAAAATGGCTTGAGATTTTTAAACGTTAAACTGCATCTTCTATTGAAAGTCATTGGGCAATTATGAAGATCCAAATGACACTCAGTAATCAGTAAAGTTCTAGTTAAATTGTATTATGGTTGTTAATTACTTGATTGATAAAAGCACATACACATCTGACTTCAATAGATTATTGTGGTCAACATTAAAATTAGCTAAATGTGTTTTCTACCAAATTATTTATATGAAATTGATTTCTTAAAAATGCCAATTGAAAAAAAAAGAATTGCCCAAAAAAAAAATAAGTTTATCTGAATTACTGAATTGGTTGGATGAAAAATCTTATAGGCATGATTAACAAACATAAAAGTCGTGAATTACACATTATCTAAAATGTATAAAGGTATGTCTTCTCGTATTATCATATGTTTGAGAAAAATACAACAGGTATCAATTTATAACGAATTAGTTTTAACAGAAAAAACATCATTGCTTATAGTGTTATAGGCTGCCTTTATAGAAAGGTTTACTTAGTTTTTCTGTTATTACAGAGCAGGTTTATCTTCCACCACAGATGGTTTATTTCCATCTTTATCTAAGACAGCTTTAAAGATGATGGGTTCTAGCAGTCTATGCACAATACAAACTGCTGTTTTCTTGCCTTTTTCACTCTCTCTATCTCTTGCAACACGACCGGCTGTTTCTGTCAGAACGGAAAGAAAGTTCATGTTAGGAGACCTGCTGAAATCGAAACCCTCGACGGATTCTGCTAATTCGTCTATCAACCAAGATCCGTAAGTTTTATTATGAAATGTCTTCTTTCCAGCGACGGATGGAAACACAATTAAAAAGTTAGGAGGTAGGTTCATCAAAGCTTCTTCGGTACCGTAATAATATTCATCATCAGGCGCTTTATTGTCGGCTTTTATGTTTTTATTTACGCTTTTTATTCTGTAATCTTTGCTTGGATGTATTTCTTGAAAATCATCAGGGTTTTGGCTTTGGCCTTCTTGGTAGGAAAGATCTCCGGCACCACATTGAATACCCTGAAAATATATAAAATTATGCATACTGATAACAGTTGTAGTAAGCAGTGACAACACTACAATAATTTTCTTCCGAAAATACAATACATAATGTTTTTACAAAATTAACCCTTACTATGCTAAATTTCTTAAATGGACGTGTCCATTTTTCAATCTGGACAAAAAACACATTTGATCATTTTAGAATAATTAAATACTGTGTGAATAGCAAACAGTGCATACCATGATCTCAGTCTGTACTGGTCGCATGGGAACATTCAATAAAAATTATTGTCTCTATTAGTCTAAAGGTGTAATACATTTAGTCGGTGTGTGTAAGACATAAATGAGCCGAGCCATGACAAAACCAACATAATGGGTTTGCTGTTCGCTTACAACCCCTATAAATAGAGAAAATGATAGCGAACAGCATTGATCCTGATCAGACTGGGCGGATGCGCAGGCTGGTCTGGTCTGGATCCATGTTGGTCGCAAACCCATTATGATGGTTTTGTCATGACGTGGCTCAAATAATTAAAATCACATACCAAGTTCTCAAACTGTTGCATGACTTCTCCATCTCCTATCTCTCCAATGTTATGACCAGCGTCATGCCAAACCTTGTCTTGTTTCTCTGTTATAATGTCAACAAAAATTACAAAAAATAATGTAAAGATTATTAAAAAAAACTGTCATTAATTGCATGTATGAGAAAAAAAAGGTATGCATCTTTATGACAATTAACACCAATGCGAAATTACAGTCTTTGAAAATATCGGCATTTAGAATTTATAACGATCTTTTAGTTGAATTATTGCTTATTTACGAATACAATTCTTAACGCTCAAAACTCATAGCTCGATCAGGACATATAACAACTATTCGTTTCAATACTGGATTCAAAGAAACTTTATGTTATCTTACTTTAATGCATTGTTACGCCGCATTAATCGCTCGGCGGGTATTGCTCTCTGGACAGCATGATGATGATGTACTGATAATTTTAATGATAATGTACTTACAATGATGATTATTTTGTTAATAATGACGACAATGTTGTACTGATTATGATAATGCTCAAGATGATGATAATGGTGATAATTAATGCATATACATTGTTAAATAACTTGATCTTCGTGTTATATACGAAATACAAACATTATCATATGCCAAAATATTTATTGCATGCATATACAATGTACTTGGAGAGATTTATCCGTCAAAATGGGACTGCTTGACGCATACAACTTCCCTTTCTTGGGAGCTATATTCGTCGTAAATGTTAGTAAGGTGTCGACGATGAGAGTTATATGCATCTGTAAAAAAGTTATGATTTTGTTTTAAATATTACATGTCCTGCATTTAAGTCTTTATAAAAAAACAGAATATTATATTTAGACTACGGTATATAATTATTAAAAAATTATCATGTACATGTACCTTCACGAACTTCGGGATCACTTCGACACATACTAAGTATAATTATTCTCGGTTTCCCTACCAGTGTTTTACAGTTGTCGTCGTTCAGTGTTTTTATAACGTCTGAAAGTGTTACTCTGTTTGCAAAAAGATCATCCGAGAAACAAATCTCCTGTTTCCCATCCACCTGCACGCCATGTGTGCTTATTGCCAAAACGAAACATTCTGCATCAGAATGATCAATTGATTGAATTTTACAACTCATACATTTACAATCCTTTTTATCCTCTGGTTTTGTGTCATGAATCCAAAAAGGTTGAGTATGCGTCTTGTAAGGGCTTTTGTTGACGTTCTTAAACGTTCTGTTTTCAAGGAACTGAAAGTTAAGTTTCGTGCCAAAGATAAATTGCAAGTTCGAATCATCTATGCCAGCACCATAACGGGTTGGGTCTGGTATATTCTTCTTTGGAAAAATTTTCCTGTAAATGTCATGCAATCTAAAGTCGCGGTTATTTATAATAACAGCGTATCCTCTTGACCGTTGTTCATCATGACGTGTCCCTGTTAACTCTGCCATTAGTACTGTTAAATAGAAACACAAAGATGAACTGTAATAACATTCACAAAAGTGGATATCTATTAAGAGCAAAGAATATTAAAAGTCTGTAAATTGTAATTCATTCGTTAAATGTACCACAAATGCAGTGATACGACCAAATTGAGTTTTTAAAGTAGTTCAATTTTTATACTATCAAACTGTTGGAAAAAGACGTCGCCCGTCCAAAATTATATCGATGTCTCTTTTACAAGTCTAATGAGTTGGAGCCTACACACTGTTCGAGCTTCGAACAAAAGTAAAGTATTTCAATTCTAAAACATTAGCAACATTTTGCAACATTTTCAATTTTGCCGTGTTGGGCTTTCTATAGGGATTCTGTTTTTCCCTATTTTATGGTCACATCAGTGCTACTTGTGCCGTGTGGCGGCTGTAAAAAGTCTCCCCCTACATTTAATCAAAGATGTTATATTTTTGATCCTTGAAGATTGTTCAGCACGACATAATTGTTGTGTATACATGTTATGTGGTATTTTTAGTTTCTTCTATTTGGCCTTTTTCAACTTGGCTGGTTCCAGTATTCCTAACTTGAATACTGTATAATCACCCTTAGGATATGTTGCCTGCTTTTTAAATTGTCTTTTGACGTCTTATCTGTGATATGCAGGCTTCATAACCTCAGATCCCCTTTCAAAATTCCATTTTATTTAGTTCCGCCCATTGTTTTTTCGTTTAGGGCACACGCATTTTTTTACTTGGGGACCATATGCCGCTTTTCATGGAATGGCACTTACGTGTCACATTGAAGGTTCCATGATAACCGTCATATGAACACATCTGCGGATGTTTCAAAAAAATTATACCAGTTCGTGTTAAATGTTGAATTCTGCTTAAGCCGGTGCTAGGGGGCGTGGACGGTAACTTGCACTTTCCAGTACCGTCCATGAACAGGCTCAATCAAACTGAGCCTGCAACATATACAATTTTGCCGTGTTAGGCTTTCTTTAGGGATTCTGTTTTTCTCTATTCTATATATAGGTAACCTGACAAAAACATGGCGGAAGGCGTGTTTTGTTTGATTGGGTTTTACGTCACACCGACACAGTATATGTCATTTGGCGACGTTCCAGCTTTACTGGTGGAGAAAGACCTCGGGTGTCCTTCCGTGCATTATTTCAGGTAGAACAACCGACGTTCCGTAAGCTAGCTGGATAGTTTCCTCACATGAAAGAATCCAAAGTCCCTGTCGGGTGGTTTGAAGTCAACGACCTTAACCACTCGGCCACGGACGCCCGAACGCGGAAAGCGTGATTTGTTTTTAATGCGTTTATTTAAGGTCGCCGCCGGAAAGCCCCATATGGGCGACCGTACACTCAAGTCGGGTCATTTTAGAGCGTCCAGCCGAGATTTTTCGTCGATTTTTTTCCCAGCTTTATTGGTGGAGAAGAACCCCAGGTGCCCCTCCGGGCATTATTTCAGACACAAGCGGGCACCTGGGGAGAACCACCGACCTTCCGTAAGCCAGCTGGATGGCTTCCTCACATGAAAGATTTCGACCCGAGTGAGGATTGAACATACAGTGGTGAGGGTCTGTGATTTCAAGTCAGCGGCCTTAACCACTCGGCCACGGAAAGCGTGCCCCGTAGGCACCCCTTTTAAAGGTATTTTGCCGTCCATTTTGTTATCACGTGGTATTAAGTTTTTCATTTTGATTGGTTAAGGCCAGTCGATGTTCGGATAAAATGATCAAATTTTGATAATTGTACGGAGACAATGCAAGCACATCTTTTCGGCCCTTTCACACAATAGTAAGAATACACAGAACGGATACGGTATTTCGGTCTAACCTTAGCTAAGAAAGTAAACATGTAAACAAATAGTAATTTACTGCTAAGAGTTGAAGACTATATATCTATACCAATATATCGAGTAAAAGCCCGCCTTAATTAAGTAAATTTACAGATATAACAGTAAACAGTACATTACTTATATACTTATTATTGCGGTTGTAGTACAAATTGACTACCTTGTAACCTGTTGATGTCTTAAACACAATGAAATTATGAGAACACTTTCTCTTTATCCCTTTTTAAACACTTTTTATTTTTACTTTTAACAATCCAAAAACTTTTCTTTTCTTGGAATTAGTAAATTAGACAGTCTGGACACACTTTGTGTTAGTTGTTTATACAATGACTTAGATGTCATTAGAATATTATAGACTATTGTCTATTCAAAGTACCAAATATTACATGGTGTCAGAACTAATTTGGACATAAAAACAATACTATGTTTTAATATATATTGGATTTAATACTATTCAATATTTATTATGATTGATAATTAATAATGGACTAATTAATTGATAATAACTAAAAAATATGAAAGGAGTTGTACCGCCATCTATGAGAAGGGACGACAGCAACTTACCAGAGGCATTTTAAAAATAAAATTTGTACGACATGCAAATTTAGTATTTAGTTGACCTCTAGCAGACAAACCAGAAAAGGAAAAGGTGTCAAACCTACTTTTGTGGCTTGGTGATAAAGGCTGTGACATACGTCATTCTTGGACAGACATAACGGAGGAAAACGCAAAGAAGCCAGATACATTCTATGAAAAATTTAGAAACTATCTGAGACCAACTCTTAATCCAATTTTTGCCAGATACCAGTTACCAGTTCTTCAACGAAATCCAAAAAGACGAATCAATAGACTCATTTGTTACAAGATTGACACTTAAAGCTTAAGATTGCGATTTTTCAAATTTAGATGAAATGTTACGTGACAGGATTGTATTTGGGACAAATTCGAACAAAATTAGAGAGGAATTAATAAATCAAGGAAAGGACTTAATTTTAGATATTGTCAAAATTATGAATATTCCAGGGAGCAAATGAAGGAAATGAGCCACGATGACGTACATGCTGTAACAAACAGACGTGAGTACAGACACCATGCACCCGCCGCACGTGCAGAAGTTGGTAAAAGTAGACAGAAGCAGTCTAGAAGTGGAAAACCAAAGAAGTCGGCAGTCAATGGTAAAAAATGTGACAAATGTGGTTATGAACATAATGACAGAGAGTGCCCAACTAAAGGGGAAAATATGACTCCATTTCAAGAGTGTATGCCGTTCAAAAAAGTGCATGACATTCAGGCAAATACGGATTATGACAGTTCCGAAAATTCCGATGTTGATTTCTATGTTAATAGGTAAATAACTCTTTATCTAAAAAAAATCAAGCATTTGCCACTTTAAGCTGTACCCACATCTTATTTAAAATTGACACAGGTAGTCAGGTTAATATCTTGCCAGAATCAAAATTCAAGCACCTTGGTATTAAGTACCCCTTAGAACCCTCAAGGTAAAGCTTTCATCACACACTGGCAATCACCTTAAGGTCAAAGGTACAATTACGTTACAATTAACCTGTAAACAAATCACTAAGCCTATTAAATTTTATGTACAAACTACATCCTCACCCCTTTTATCCCTCCAGCTATCCACTGACCTAAATTTAATCAAAATTGTTTACTCATTAGATAGCCAGGAAATATCTCCTGAGACAGCCCTCTATACTCAATGAAATTAACCCTGTTTTTGATGGCATTGGTTTAATATCAGGTGAAGTAAAATTATATTTGAGGCCCGACTCTTTACCAGTCGTAAACCCACCTCGACGGGTCCCTATCGCATTAAAAGACGAACTACGAGAGGAACTTGATCGGATGGAAAAGCTCGAAATAATCGACAAGGTCAAAAATCCAAAAAAAAAGTACTTCTCAGTCTTTGGCGCCACGAGTGATTATTGGAGCGTGAAATTGGATGAAACTTCATCATATTACACAACCTTTAACATACCATTTCGTAGGTATCGTTTTAAGCGATTAATCTTTGGACTTGTATGTTCACAGGACATATTCAAACAGAAATTTGATGAAGCCTTTGAAAGATTATCAGGCGTGACTGGAATCGTTGACGACATTTTGGTATATGGACAGACAAAGGACGAACATGACTCAAATTTGAGACAGGTTTTACAGCGTGCACAGACATGTGGTGTTAAATTGAATCCTGACAAATATGTAATTGGAGTTACACAAGTGTCCGATTTTGGTCATATTCTTTCTTAAACTTGTGTGAAGCCCGATCCTCAAAAGATCAGTGCTATCACTGAAATGCAACCGCCCAAAAATAAGGCTGAGCTCCAAACCTTCTTAGGAATATGCACATACTTGTCAAAATTTTCATCAAAATTAGCTACGGTCTCAGCCCCTATGCGTGCATTATTTAAGAAAGATGTAGAATTTGACTGGAAAGATGTACAAAATAAGGCATTTCAGGAAGTCAAAACTATTCTGTCATCTGCCCCAGTTCTTGCATACTTTGATCATACGAAGCCAATTACTTTACAATGTGACGCTTCGACGGATGGGCTACAAACGTTTTATTCCAGGACGGATAGCCCATAATCTATGCTTCAAAAACCCTGACAAAAACTGAAATAAACTATGTCCAAATTGAGAGAGAAAGAAATGTTAAGTATAGTTTTTTCATGAAAGCGTTTCACTGAAGATATGTTTTACAAAGAGTTAATGTTTTATCTACAGCAATACGATACACTGAAGTGTATCTTATTTCAATGTAAACTATTGCTATGCGTATATTAAACTCTGTATACATGTTAAAATGTCAAATCGGTACAACAGTAAATATGCTTGTTTTCAGAGAGATTTTACATCAGTTTAGGAGAGACACGCTGATAGTGTGTAGCGTTTATTTTTTTTTTGTTGAGAAGAGAATTTGTTGTTTTGAAGGGAGTTTTGTTGATTTGTTGAAGTTGGTTGAATATAATTGTGGTGATCTTAATTGATCAGGGTTTATTGGTTGTAATTAGTTGTTTTGGTTGTTGAGTTATATCTGTTTGATAAGATATACTTCGTTGAAATTGGTTGATTTTGTCTGGTCAAGATTATATTAGTTGATGCTTTGTTTTGAGAATATATGTAAATATTGGGTGCTTTA